ATATATATATATATATATATATATATATATATCAATCACATGAACGAACGATTTACTTGCCAAACTGCTATCATTAACAATAATCAGGTTTTCTTTAGCGAAATAAACCCTCTCCTTCCTGTTGCGCTTGTCAGAAATTTTGTAATGAACCCAGAAAACGGTAGAAATTTTGAAAAGACAATATTTAGAGAATTTGCATAAGATACTTCTAAACAAGAAATTACTAACATTATATCTTGATTCTGAATTGCATTTAACTTATAGAATTATTCAATTGCATTACTGATCAATTACGAGAATAACCATAATCGAATCATTCCAAAGAGTACTAGAGACTTCTTATGCATCATAGCTGAAAATCATTGAGATATTCCTCATCGTTTTTTTAGCATTTGAAAAAGTAAGTAATTAAATACCAAAGCCCTGCACACCTTTTTTAATGTTTCTATCAAATGTTTAAGAAAAATTGATAAACAAATGACAAAAACAAAAACTGAAGTCAAACAGCATATTATGAACATTCAAGTAAATACAAAAGTAATTCCCTAACTTGAAGCTAATAACAAGCTGAAAAACAACAGAAACTATAATTTCCATCAGAAGCTAATTACTTCTTTACTTTAGCAATTTTTTTTACAGACTGCACAAATATATTCACACAAATACAATAAAGGAGAAGAAAACCCAGAAATGCAACAGTGCAAGAAAAGCATGCACGCGCACTCACGCACTCACGCACTCATGACATCATCTCAGCCAATACATACAAATAGTTTAAATACATCACTTGCACACTGCTCATTTTCACTTTTGATTTGCTTCATTACTAATCTTGACTAATTTTTCCTTTAGTCACTACTTGGCATTAATCTGTTCCCAGCATTAATAAGCATTATAGCAGTGAACTGCCACATTGTCTCAATCTAAATCGTCTATTAATCATCCATTACAAATTTATTTACACTCTTTCTGCTATATTTACACAAATTTATCTGATCTTTTGCACTGTATTTTTACAACATGCATTTACAGTCTCTGAAAGTACAGACAATTAATTACATACAATTTATGCTCTTACAACGTTGTACAACCAAATTGTTTTATCAAATTGATAAATTAGTCGTACATGATTTTTTTATCTGTACTATAAATTATGAACTTTCGAGATATTAGTATTCATAACTTCATGATAGTACAAATAGCAGTAGAAAATTTAACTATTTTAATGACTAACTTTATAAACTTTCTGGTTTCAGAATTACAGTAAAGATGGATTACTTGCGATCTTAATTAAGGCTGCGTTAAATATTGTTTTAGCGGTGGTCATTCGAGTCGTTATTTGATTATGCAAGCATTTGTTTACATTTAAGTGATAGGTTTTCGTTTTTTGAATGATTTTAAATGAATTATTATTTTAGTATCGTTAAAATTGTTCACTACATTACCATTTATTTATTGATTGAAGAAGTATTAATGACGAAGTTGTATATATAAATTAAACTATAGTAGACTCATTGAATGAATAAATAAATGAATGTGTCGATTAGATGCAGTTAACAAGCTCTGCATTAATAATGAGAGATATTTCATTCTTATTGCCTATAGCGCGTTAAATATAACTTATCTTCTCAGTGTATAATTACTTTTCTTGTTGATTCTTCGTTTTCAAGATCAGAAAGTAGTGTTTTAGCATAGTTTTGATAACAAAAAAGTGTTATTTGTCATATAAAAATCAAATTAGGTGACACATTTTTACCTTTTTTTCATTTGATGTAAAAATCAAATTAAAAAAGGTAAAATTTTTCATTTTTTTTCCTTAGAGTTTGTGTGCATTATTTTCAAGGCTGTTTTTAATTCATTTAATGTTTTTGAACTTCGTGTTTAGTACAGTTTACATGTCATACGACGTTTATAAAGTCTTCTTTAGATTTATAATGTATTCATTTAACATTTTTCATTTAACAAAGCTCTGCTCATGTGCATTTGCTGCATTTATACTAAATTCAAACATTTAATCTTTTAATTCCAAAATTTAGGCTTATTATCTTTTTAGTACTAATTAATATAAGTGAAAAGTATTATAGTTAATATTATACGAGTAAAATTATTTTTAAATCATATTCTAATTAATTGGAATATTTTATGCGCATGGTGAAAATCTGCAACAACTCAAGCAATATTCTGATCTAATACTTCTTACTATCTTTAATTTATTAATTCTTTAGGTATATCATTCTGAAAGAGGTCGCTGTTTATCTGATAGACCAATGGCTGTAAGCAGTTTTGCTTCTTCCATATTAAGTAAAATACATGGATTTGTCAGTGGTAATGCAGTATCAGTTTTACAAAATTATAATGGACGAAATGATGCTGTAGCAGGACCCTCAAATATGATGCCAATTCAAGTATCTCTTTATGCCAATCTTTTTTCAATTTTTTCAAATTGAACTTTTGATTCATGCAGATCAAGTTAAATTGATGAGTCTTTTGTTACATGTAAATGAAGTAGGTCATTTTACAAAACTTCTTTCACTGATTTTTCCTCTAATAGTATTCCTTTTTTTTAAAGGATGAGTATTTATGCAGCTTACTTTTCCATTTTCATTACTAAATGTTTCACAATGTCAGGATCGTCGACTAGTTGAAAAAACGTTCAAATTAATGGATAGTGTTGTTAAACATTGTCAACAACCACGCCTAAATCTGAAAAACTCACCGCCTTTTATACTAGATATATTGCCAGATACTTATCACCAGCTATCAACTATAATATCGAAGAACCCAAATATTCTGAAGGATAATACATATTTGTTTCTCTTTTTAGAAAATGTCCAATTGAAGTGCAAGCAGGTTCTAACTTCTCATTTTTTCGAACAAAATTTCAAAGTCACAATTTGCAGGAATCCAAAAAGTAACTATAAAACTGCTCTTTTTTTCATTCTTAGAACCTGTATTAGTACATGAAAAATTTGGTCATTTTTTTAGACCTTGAAGTTATTCAAGGAAGATCGCGAAAAAATTTATGATGAGAGGTCCGGAGCACGTCGCAATCTTACTAAGCTCTCATTAATTTTCTCACACATGTTGGCAGAGTTGAAAGCTGAGTTTCCTGATGGACATTTTATTGGTGAGAACTTTCGAATCACCAAAAAAGAAGCTGATCAGTTTTGGAGAGAAGCATTTGGCAGCAAGTATTCATTTATTTTGTTTTAGAGTGATTACTAATTAATTTGATATAAAGTTAATACAGTGCAGAAGGCAGTGTTTTTTGTAATATTGAGATGCTACTAATCCGTCATCTGTTTTTTTTCTTTTGATCAGGACAACTGTACCGTGGTTTGAATTTCGAGTAACGTTAAGTAAAGTGCACAAACTTAATGCCGGTCTGGAGACTCTTGCTTTAAAGACCACCATTGACCTAACAGTCAACGAGCATATTTCGAACTTTGAATTTGATGTATTCACGAGGTTTTTTTTTTCTACTTTCTCCTGTAATGTATGTAATAAAATTCGTGGTTTCATAGGTTTCTAATTTTTTGCAATTAATTGTAAAGATCTATTTATTTTGAGCTTCAGGCTCTTTCAACCATGGAATTCATTATTGCATAATTGGCAGCTGCTTGCTGTAACTCATCCTGGATATGTTGCTTTTCTGACATATGACGAAGTGAAACAGAAACTTCAGAAATACAGCAGCAAGCCGGGAAGGTATGTAACTAGTTTTATGACGTCATTTGTTCATAAGTTTTATTTCTTCTCTAGAGACTTCTCAAAACTTAAGTGATTATTTGTTTTTTAACGTTTCTTTTCTCAGCTACGTCTTCCGCCTGAGCTGTACACGTCTTGGGCAATGGGCTGTCGGTTATGTAGCTCCTGACGGCAAAATTTATCAAACTATTCCGCAAAACAAATCACTCATACAAGCATTAGTGGATGGGAGTCGAGAAGGATTGTACGTTGATCTTTCTTACATTGTATTGTATGTAAAATAATTGTGTTAATGGTGTGCTTTAAATCCCAACTACAGATTTTGTTTCATTCTTGTATTTTAAGATTTCATAATCTATTATCGCATGAACTTTTAGTTATCGTTTCCCTGATGGAAGACCTACCAATCCTGATCTAAGTCATGCTTTGCAACCAAGTCCAGAAGGTCATTTAAAAGTATGTAAATATTATTCAAGTCATTTAATTAAAAAGTAATCTTGAAAACATATATCATTCAATAATTATTTTGAGGCAGTGATCTTTTTTTTTGCAATTATAATTTTGGAATATTTCAAAATATAGCATAGATAATCTGTACTATTCAAACCTTTGATTATTAGGTGACGCCCGAGCAATATCAGATATATTGTGAAATGGGTACAACATTTGAAATGTGCAAAATCTGTGCAGAAAATAACAAAAATGTCAAGTTAGAACCGTGTGGGCATTTACTTTGCACACCGTGCTTGCAGAGCTGGCAGGTTGATATGTTCCTTGTTGCCAGAATTTTGTATGACTTATAGGCTGGACTTTCTGAAATAGCACTGTAACAAATTGTGCTATTCTTGAAAATTTTTAATTTTTTTTATTTTTGAGGTTATTACGATGAAATAATGTTGTGTGCACTTGATACATTTTTATATCTATCTTTTTGCATTTTTTAATTTTTTATAGGAATCAGATGGTGGTAGCACGTGTCCTTTTTGTCGCTGTGAAATCAAAGGTACCGAGAAAATCATTATCGATTCGTTCGACCCAACTAAAACAAACAAAAAACTTGGTTATGAAACAATTATTGACAAAAGTAGTGTTAAAAATATAGTGAGTCATTATTTTTTTGAGAGAAGATTTTTCACGCACATATCTTACTTTTTCATTGTCATATGTACAGCAATTTCAGCGACAGTCTTGGCCACCGAGGAATGAAGTTGTGCCACCCTGGCGGGCACCTCCATTACCTCCCCGTTATGACTCTTCTTCGGCTGGCAGTAGTCCATCCGTTACACACAAGCAATTAACTTTTATTGGAGACAGAGATCCTCTTGGAACAGATGCGACCAAACTCAAACATGTTAGAAAGTTTTTTATTGCTGTTTTCCAAAAAATAGATGAATAATGAACGGAAAAAATTTCTGGATTAGCTTCGTCATAATGTACGTTTGATAAGTTCAAGTATTCTGCGGCTTTCATTTAAAACGACTCTAGGACTTTTTCTTTTATTTGGAATTACAGAATCTTGATTCTAATCCAGTGTTAGATTTTGTAAAGGGAATGTCGTTGATTCTAGAACGCTCCACCAACTAGTGTCATGCAGTCAGAAATGGTGACGCAGACTTTGACAGAGGGACCATCTTACGTAAATGTAGTTACTTCCAATGGGAAATCGAGCTATGAGAGATTGCAATATGTCAACACTGCTGTAATAAGTAGTCAAACATAGAATTTTTTCGGTTCACACTTTTTTTTTCACTACATCATTAGCTTGTCAACATTTAAGAACATCAGATTAGCATACTATTAGTGAGTTGTGTATAATTGATTAACCAGTGATTTTTGCAAGTCTTATCCATTTTTTTGCTGTGAATAAATTTGTTTTTTGCTCACACATTCTGTCTCTCAATGCCTTCATTGATTTAATTTTACAAATTATGAATTGAAAATCATGATTGTGATTTGCTAATAAGTTACTTATAGTAACAAATCAAGCTGCGAGGTTTATGATATATAGTCTGTAACGTCATTGAATGGCTTATTTAAGATGTAGTAATGCCAAAATGTTAAAGCAGTTGATTTGGTCTGAAATTATTGCAGTTTCTCAGCATGGAGCATTTGTCATTATTGGATATTAATTGCTCTTTTATTTTCTCATGAATAATTACTTTCATATATTTTTTACCTGCTCAAATCTTCGTGCATTGTAACAATCTTTTTTAAATGGCATATATACGATGCGTTGAGTAGATGCATTGGTCATTTGACACTGTTATTGTCTAAAAAATCGTAAAATAGTAATATTTACCTTTACTCTCGTATTAATTTTCGAGTTCATGTGAATTTGTAATTTACTATCATTTATGTCGTCTTTCATTCTTCCATAATCTATTTTGAAATATTGGTTTTATCTTTTACTCTGATCTATTGGTTACAATGAATAATTATTTTCTCTTGACTGTCGTTGCTGATTGCAGGTTCTCCATTTTTTCGAAAAGAATTTTGATCTAAAACTCATGCATTTCTCTAAATTTATTCTCTAAAATATTAGTTATTCCGAAGTAGTAACGCCTGAATAATCATTGGCAAAGTTGTTTTTTTTCAATGATAAATATATTGAAAATTTTAGTGCTATATTCATCAGCTCTTTTTATACAATGCTTAAATATTTATGCTTGTTCATATTGTCTTTCAGGATAATCCTCTTTTACCAACTTTGTTTTGATCGTAGTCTGCTGCTAAATCGGTTTCATCAGATTTTTGAACTTCTCGTGGAAAATGTTCAATTTTGTCTTAATTTCTGAGTCTTATCTGTGATGCACTTTGATATGAATCTATGTTTTTAGCTTTATACTAGCTATATCATTTATTATCTACCGATTGAATTGTTCAAGGTATCTCCAGGCTTATTTAATTTTCATGAATTTTCTAGTTTGTATATAGCAACTTTAGTCAGAAATGTATTTCATCAATCAGAATTATCAAGAAGTAATTACGTGCCCTTTACTCTCTAATTGGAAACTTCCATGTGTTTTTTTGACTCCATTATATCTACTAAGCATGAGACGCTGGAAACGTTTTGCCTTTGAACGTAATATAAAATTGGTCAGTTTTCTTATCTATTGATTGTTTTTTCACTCAATACCATACTTTCAATTTTTTCTCGTCTTGATTTTTCGTTCGTATCTGATTACAAAGTTCGGTTGTAATTGTAATACCGTCTTCTTTCTACCGTGCATAATTTATGTTAGCAGTTATATCGGTTACTTTTCAAGTATTTCGCAAGGGGGTATAAGTGTCTTCGTAATTTTCGACATATTCCATTACCGGGTGAAATCGATATGGTAAATCTGGAAACGATGTTCCAGTAAGTGATAGTAGAGTGTAGATGAAATTTGAGTTTGTTTGGTAAATAATAAGTAGTAGGGATAACAGCAGAAACTTATAGAATTATCGAATCTAACTGTTCATGAAATTGTATGAGATGTATGAAGTGTATTATATTGGAAAACGAATAGAATGTTTCAAGTTCTGGCGTTGGTTTGCGTTACTATGCTTGATAAAGGCTTTATTTAAACAAAATGAAACTGAACAAAGGCAATATTCACGAGATAAAAAATAGTGAGTTATGGATTGACAATTTGTGGCAATCACTTCCATATTACCGTCCAATATGAATAGGCCGATCCTCAATTTCGAACTCAGCAGTTGCTGCTCGTGAACCCTTATGCTTATGTGACCCCAGAGCAAATGTTGCTCCGGCGAAAATATAAATAAACACACATGTCCAGGCTAAATAAGTGGGTAAACCCGTCGTTTGACCTACTGAATAATCCCATTCGATATTCTGCAAAGTATAAACATCCTGAAGCAGCAGTTACAGCACTTAAAGTCATGTGGTTCATTTTTCTTCATCTATTTAATTCACTGAAATTGTTTAATCTACAGTCTTGGACGTGATCTAATATAAATTCTTTTTGAAATGTGCTTAAGCATCAAAATAATTTTATAAGGGAGTAGTAGTTGTTTAGGTCATTGAAGCTTTAGCTTTAGAAATATATATATATATAAATTTGTAGTCAGTTCAAATCCTCCCTCTAATGTTTGGGAGTGTGATTTATGCCACATTTATTATCATTATACGAGAATTTCCTTTATGAAAGGACACGTCATTCAAATCAAGTCATTATTCGCAACACAAGATATACTTAAAAATTCTTGATCGTTGGTAATATTTTGACTCAGTGATTGATTCAATCGTAAAATGAAGCCTTTGATGCAGTGTAGCTCATAAATACAGCTAGTTATATGTATGTTTCATGCGTTTCACCTATATTATTCGGGATTGGTAGTATAATTAGGTAGTTGCGATGTGCTTCAGCACTGAACCATTTTAAGATTTGCGTATACTTATTTACTACTATTTAGTACGAAGGAAAAAGTAAAGACGAACCTTTGCTTGTTCCGCGACAGAAAGATTCCATTCATTAACACTGTTTGTTAATATCTCTATTGTAACAACAATGCACATTGCTGTAAAACTGCTTCTATTTCCATAGCAATTTAAACATAATTTAAACTTCCACAAATTCATATGTAATTTCATTGTCTGCCGCAATACTCGAATTTTAATTTGAGAACCATTTTTGTATAATGACGACTGCCAGGACGCAAAATTAGAATGACTCCATTTCATGCTAGATGTTTTACTTTTATGCTACAGTTTGAAACTTATTTACTCACAAAAAAAAATTACTGAAATCTCTAAAAACTTACCAATAACGCCATAAAGACATGCAGTCAAACGTTTATAAATATAACGGTGATGACAAAATGTATAAATTGCAAGTGCATTAGTTGAAAGCATTAGTAATAATGATATTATACCAAATGCCATTTGTGCCCGATAATAATCTCAAAATGTTAATTATATGAATCAGTACAGTAATTTCAATATCAATAATTTTGAATTTCCAACAAAAACTAATTTGTATTTGAATGATATACAATTTCTTTCAATTTCATTTGGGAGATATTTATTGAAACAAAATTTGATTTAAATATGCTCGTTTTTATTTTTAAATCTTAACAAATGATTACTTAACCATACCTTTGCTTATTTGCGTTTCTTGTAACGATTTAAAAAAACTGTATAAAAAAATTTCAAGAAACTCAATTTCTAACGTAAAGTTTGCATAGTTTTAGATGTAAAATATATGGAGAAACAATATCTGATACTAAAAGAATGGATGAAGAATGTTTAAGCATACGTTTAAGATCAGTATCAGCAAGTCGAAGGACATGCTCTGGAAGATTTGGGAAATGTGGTATCCATTCCACTGAAATTTAGAAATCAAAATTATTCTAGCAATTTATTTAATAAGACTTTTTCAATCAACTAAACTTTACAATCATTCCAATAATTACTGCAAAATTTTACCACGATAGCTGAAAA